GCCTATTTCCTCTTTTGTCTGCTTGTCCTGCTCCACAATTCCCGTTCAGGCCGTTTTTCTACTTGGAAACAGTTCAGGGCCGGCTGTGGCCATTTGGTTTTAATTGGATACTGTCTCTTTAAATTTCAAGGAGATCTGTGCGCATGCGTAGTAGAACCTTGCGAGGGTGAGGATGGGGTGACCACTATCTCAGGCACTCCTATAGTCACCAGAATGGACATGCACAGACAGCATACAGTTTGAATAACTATGACATATACTTTTCCTGATTTCAAACCACTCAATATTCCCTAGTTCTTTTTAAACAACTGCTTCTTGGGCTATGTCCAGGTTCCTCATGAGCACAATTAAATGTTCTGGAATTCCCATTCTTAAAAAGTTATTCTTTGTTTTCTATGATCCACAAGGTCAAATGCCTTTGCATAGTTAATAAAACACAAGTAAACATCTTTCTGGTATTCTCTGCTTTCAGCCAACATCCATCTGACGTCAGCAATGATATATACCTTGTTCCACATCCTCTTCTGAATCCATCAGGAATTTCTGGCAGTTCCCTGTGTTCGATTGCAACCATTTTTTAATTATCTTAGCAAAATTTTACTTGATGTGATATTACTGATATTTAATCATTTTTACATCCAGTTGAGTTATCTTTCTTTGGAATAGTCACAGTATGGATCTCTTCCTGTTGGTTGGCCTGTTAGCTATCTTCCAAAGCTCTTGACATAGACTAATCGGTGTTTCTAGGGCTACACCAGTTTATTGAAAGATTTCAATTTGTATTCCATCAATTCCTTGAACCTTGTTTTTCTCTACTCTCTTCAATGTAGCTTGAATTTCTTCCTTTCATAACATGAGCTCTCTCTCTCTCTCTTTTTTTTAATGTTTTATTGTGATAGTTTACATGGGAGAACATTAGTTTTACATTCATCCTATCATATATTGTTTCATTGCCATGGTTATAATCCCCCTCATGCATCATCAACCAACCAAAGGGTATACACTACAAGCCTGCCCTCCAGTCTTCAGCACACAGCCCCCCTCTCTCTCTGTGTCTAAAGTCCCCAACTGCTCCATCTCTCCACGTCATTGTCTCTGCCTCCATCTCAGGCATCACTGCTTCTCTGGGTAGGGTCCCGCTCTCCGCTCTTCTCCCTTGATGGTCCCAGGGACCTCTGCTCCTAGACTGCAAAGTTAATCACTCACCTCCTTGCTACAAAATGTCTACCTTTACATTTCCAAACCTCACAAGCAGTCCTGATAACAATTATTCACTATTGTATCACAAGAAACCCATCCGCATTTCATTTCATCAGCCCCACCTAGACAGATTGGATACTACTCAGTGGCGAGTTTACCTTCCTTTACCCCCTCTGAATCTAGGTTCCCTCTTGAAAGTTTGTAAGCCAGTCACTTCTTGCCTTTGTAAACCCCCATTTTGGGTAGCCAATGTCCAAGTTGTCCACCCCTGTCTACTCTGTGTATAACATGGATTCTTAATCATATGCTCTCTCCCTCCTTCCTTCAGTACCTTCAGTTCATAATTATATTGTTGTTGTTTTTAAATGCCATTGAATTGGTTATGACTCATAGTGACCCTGCATAGAGTTTCTGAGGAGCAGTTGGTGACTTTGAACCACTGACGTTATGGTTCAAACCCACCATTATCCTATGGTGGCACACCAGGACTCCTCGTAATCATATGCTTCCTCCTAAAATAATTGGCAGGAGTCCTGGTGTGGTGCTGTGGGTTTTACTGTGCCAGACTGCAAAGCCTTTCGAACTTCAGGGTCGGTGGTTCAAGCTCACCAGCTGCTCCTCTGAAACCCTATCTATACAGGGTCGCTATGGGCTGGAACCAACTCGATGGCATTTAACAACAACAACAACAATAAAATAATTGGTGGAATGTAGACTAATTCTTTCTGGTACAATGACTGTGTATTCCTTCCATTTTTTGGTGCTTCCTGCATCATTTAAAATTTTGCCCGTGCTAAGTGCCGTCGAATGGTTCTGACTCATAGCATCCCTGTATAAAGTTTCTGAGGAGCGGCTGGTGAGTTTGAAACTCTGACCTTGTGTTTCAAACAGACCTTATGGTCTGAGGCTTAGCCTACCGTGCCACACCAGGACTCTCAATATTACAAATTGAGACTTGGGTTATTTCAGCTTGAAATATGCTAAGCATGTTCTTTCCTTTTTGTTTTTAACTCCAGGCCTTTACACATTTCATTATAATTCTTTACTCTATCTTTTCAAGCTGCCCTTTGAAATGTTCTATTCAGCTCTTTTACTTCATCACTTCCTCTAGTTGCTTTAGCTTCCCTACATTCAAGAGTAAGTTTCAGGGTCACTCTTAACATCCATTCTGAGCTTGTCCTTCTTTCCTGTCTTTTTAATGACCTCTTTCTTTTTTAATGTATCCTATCCCTGATGTCATATGACAGCTCTTCTTGTTTTCAGTGTAGTTAGTGTTTAATGTATCGAATCTGTTCTTGAGGTGGTCTTTAAATTCAGGTGGGATATACTTAAAGTTATATTTTGGCTCTTGTGGACTTGTTTTAATTTTCTTCAGCTTCAATCTGAACTTACATATGTGCAATTAATGGTCTGTTCCACAGTCTGCACCTTGCCTTATTTTGGCTGATGATATTCTACTTCCCCATAATGCTGCCTTTTACCTGCGGGAGTATTAGAACCAGTGTACTCATCAGACAGCTGTCTTTGATTCACAGCTTCAAACCACTTCATTCCAATGTGACCACCTGCTGAAAATGTGCATTTCTACTTCAGATATGCAGAATCAGAATCTACAGTTTACAGAATCCCCAGGTGATTCTTATAGCTTTGATTCTCTGGAGCACCTTGTTAAAATGTAGGTTCTGATTCAATATATCTGGGTGGAAATGCAAATTCTCAGCATGGGGTTGAACTAGGATTAACCAACTTGCATTGAATTTGCTGTCCAATACTTGGCCTGCAGCTGCTTAATGAATTTCTTCACCTTAGCAGGCATTGAAGTGGAGGACCATTTATTGCCCCCTTAAAGACTGTTAAGTGCTGTCAAGTTGACTTTTAGTGATCCTGTGTAGAATTTCTGAGGTGCGACTAGTGGTTAGCAGTCTAGTGCTCATTTTATAGCATGACACCAGGATGCTCGTAAGCACTGACTGGCTGGCTGTTTGGTTATGTGTTGTCGAGTTAGTTCTGACTCATTTGTAGTTGTTAAATGCTATTGAGTGGTTCTGACTCATAGTGACCCTGTATAGGTTTTCCAAGGAGCGGCTGATGAGTTTGAACCACTGACTTTGTGGTTCACTGACCTTGCAGTCCAGTGCTTATCCTACAGCACCACAGGCTATAAATCTTTACTGGAGCAGAAAGCCTCATCTTTCTCCTATGGAGCACATGGTGGACTCAAACTGCTGACCTTTCAGTTAGCAGTCCACTACACCACAAGGGTTCCTTCCAATAGAGGTGGTAAAAATTTTGTAAGCATGGAAAACTGTAGCTAATGTTCAGAAGTACTCAGATGAAATGTCAAACAGGAATCGTACTTTTCTATGTGCATAAATAGCATGATTGTTGTTGTTAAGTACCATTGAGTAGATTTCGACCCATAGCGACTTCTGTATAGGATTTCTGAGGATCATCTCGTGAGCTTGAACTGCCAACATTGCAGTTCAAAGCCACTATGCATTCCAGCACATTAACCCACAGCACCACACCAGGACTCCAAATAGTATGCATGATTCAATAAAATGAAATAAGATGGAATGAACAAAGTTCCAGAGTCACACCATATTCCATCCAGGGTTTTAAATTACTGTTCACATACAGTCCATGCAGTGAGCACCAATTTCAATTAATATTTAACACCTCTTATGTCAAAATTGACACAAATTCTTTGAATTTATGTAATAGAGTGATTTCTTTTTCCTTAGCTATGTAATAGATGCTACATACTCTCAGAGACTAATGCTTATTTATTTATTTATTTTTTGGCTTGTGTCTAACAGAAGAGAGATGGAATGATAGATAAAGCTGAGCTACAGGAAGCTTGTGACCAGGCCAACCTGCATTTAGATGAAAAGCTCTTGGACCAGCTATTTGACTACTGTGATGTGGATAAAGATGGCATGATTAACTACTTAGAATTTGCAAATTTTCTGAACTGGAAAGACAAAATGCCTCTTAAAGAGTATGAAGAGAGGGTCATTATTAAAGGTATTTAAGTTTTGAAGGTTTTCTGAATTCTGACATGGACTTTTATATTGTTATTTCTTTAGGAGGTCAACTTTTGTCAACTTTTTATTGTATAAAACAGAAAAATATATATACATACTTCTGTAGGTATAGGGAGCTCTGGTAGCATACTGGATTATGAGCTAGACTGCTAAGCACAAGGTCAGTAGTTTGAATCCTTGGGAGAGAGATGAGTCTTTCTGCTGCTGTAAAATAGCCTCAGAAACCTGTAAAGGAGGGTCACTATGAGTCATAACTGACTTAGTGGCATGCAACCACCAACACCACCATGGATATATATATCCCTATATGGTTAATGATATTATTGTTGTTAAGGGCCATCAAGTTGGTTTTAACTCATAGTGACCCTGAATAGGGTTTCTGAGGCGTGACTAGTGAGTTTTAACCACTAATCTTATGGTCTGGTGCTTATCCTACAGCACCACACCAGGACTCCATGGTTAACTATACAGGAAGTTATATGTAAATATGAAAATACTTAAAGGTAAACTTTATGATGTTTTTCTTTTTACAAAATATAAATGATCAAATTTTGTTATATAAGAGTATATTCTACCATTGACTTCTCTTTGTCACAATATTTAACAAAAATGTATATATTTTAAACTTAGGTTAAATCACAGGGAACATGCCATTTTTATTTCTTTTGAAAATATAAATTGCAGATTTTTATGGAATAAAGAGAGGCTGTTATGGTTCCTCTAAACTTTATTTTCCATTCCTTCTTGCGGATGGATTCAGAGTTACTAAATCATTTCAGCACTCTTTGAAGTTTAGGTTGTTTCCAGGTGTATTTAAGTTAAGGTAGGTAATACTGTAATTATAATCTCACAAAGCCCTGTTTCTCATTTTATCTCATTTCTTGTGAATGCTATATTGGCCCCAGCATTACCTTTCCTTCTATATTTTCATTTTGCTTTTCTAAATGATTATGCAGTTTGCAGTTTCACCACATAACGCTGTTTGTTAGAGGTTTTACTCTAACCTTACCACCACTGAGACGTATTTCAAACATTCATGCTAATTTATCTGTATAGAATGATGATAGCTCAAATTTACTTTAATGTCCATATCTTGATTATTAGGGAGTAACATATTTTAAAAGCTTGTTTACGTTTTTGTTTCCTCTCAGAATGTCTCTCTTCTAAAATGTGAATGTACTACCTCTTTTAATTTTTTTTTTTTTTTTCTGAGTCATGTCTTTCTGCAGCTCAAAGACCACATTTGGGTCTTTGTTAATGACCTAAGTCCAGACTTTCTAGGATGGCCTGTCTATGCTAGCCATTAGATAAGCAACAGGATCTCCTCTATCTAATGAAACTTTTTATAGAAAATAACTTTATCCTAGTCTTCTCAGAAATCAAGAGGGGTGACAGGGTTTTCTTTTCCCTCTTCGCACAACCCATGAAAGAGGGGAGGGAAGTAAAAGTCCATTTTCAAACCGTGTAGTTCTTCTAGTTGTCCCTGGTTTTCCAGTCTGACTTCATCAGCGACTTTTCTTGACCTCCCAGAGGATCTTCATCTTCTCCTAAGATTTTAGGTAAGAAACTGAATACTCTTGGCCAATAAGTGGGTCAGAATATGCCCAGTAATGTTTTGCCAGAAATCATCTTATATCAAATTATATTTTACGTTTGACTTCTGATGGAAAAGGCATAAATATGCAAAGATAGTAGTCTTCAAAGTTTTCTGAGCCACTCTTTTAAAAGTGAAATGAGAGGATTTGGAACACTGGGACCCTTTGCTTTAGCTGCAACCATTGGCAGGCGCTGAATGAGGCAGGGTGGGGGGTGGTGCATACTTTATAGAGGCATGCCTTTTTCTGGTTAGCTAAAATCCCTGCCCCCCACTGAAACTGGCATACTGGCCTTTGCAGCTCCCTTAGACTTCCATAGAACGAGGACCTCCAATTGGTTTGAAATGGTTCAGTCATGACTGCTGTAGAGCATGAAGTCTGAAGGCTTTTTGCTTGCGAATGACTGTAGCCTTGTTGTTATTGTTAAGTGCGTCAAGTTGGTTCTGACCCATAGTGACCCTGTATAGGGTTCCCAGGGAAGAACTAGTGAGCTTGACCCACCGACTTTGCAGCTGAGTGCATTAACCCAAAGTGCCACACCAAAGTCCTGACTGCACCCTGTTGTTAAGTGCCGTCCAGTAGGTTCCGACTCATAGCGACCTTGTATAGGGTTTGCGAGAAGTAGCTGGTGAGCTTGAACCGCTGACTTTGCAGTGTTCAAATGGCTTTGCAGTCTAGTGCATTAACCCACAACACCACCCCAGGGCTCCTGTTGTTGTTCTTAGGTGCCATCCAGTAGGTTCCTACTCATAACAACCCTATGCATAACAACAAAACACTCCCCGGTCCTGGGCCAACCTCACAATTGTTGCCATGCTTGAGTCCATCTCTCTAGGGGTCTCCCTCTTTTTCTCTGACCCTCCACTTTACCAAGCATGATATCCTTCTCCAGTGACTGGTGCCTCCTGACAGTGTGTCCGAAGTATGAGAGATGAAGGTTGGCCATCCTGGCCTCCAAGAAGCACTTTGGCAGCACTTCTTCCAACACAGATTTGTTGGTTCTTTTGGAAAGCCTTTGCATAGTCAATAAAGCACAGGTGAACATCTTTCTAGTGTTCTCTGCTTTCAGCCAAGATCCACCGGACATTAGCAATGATACTTCTCATTCCACATCCTCTTCTGAATCCAGCTTGAACCTCTGGAAGTTCTCTTTTCAATGTATGCTTGCAGCCGTTTTTGTATTACCTTTAGAAAAACTTTACTCCCATGTGATGTCAAAGGTGTTGTCAATGAGTTCCACATTCTGTTTGGTCACCTCTCTTTGGAATGGCCACAAATATGGATCTCTTCCAATCAGTCAGCCAGGTAGTTGCCTTCTAAATTTCTTGGCATAGATGAGTGAGTGCCTTCAGTGCTGCATCACCTTCTTGAAAGATTTCAATTTTCATTCCATCAATTCCTGGTGACTTGTTCTTTGCCAATTCCTTTATTGCACCTTGGACTTCTTCCTTCAGTATCATTGGTTCTTGATCATACACTACCTCTTGAAGCAGTTGAACATGAGCCTTTTCCTTTTGATACAGTGACTTTGTGTATTCCTTCCATTTTCTCTTGATGCTTTCTGCATCATTCAATATTTTGCCCAGAGAATCCTTCAATAATGAAACTTGAGGCTTGAATGTTTCCTTCAGTTCTCCCAGCTTGAGAAATGCTGAGCATGTTCTTCCTTTTTCGTTTTCTGACTCCAGATATTTGCACATTTTGTTGTAAAATTTGACTCTGTCTTCTTAAGCTGACCTTTGAAATTTTCTGTTCAGCTCTTGTACTTCCTCATTTCTTCCATTTGCTTTAGCATCTCTCTGCTGGAAGTTTCAGTGTGTCTTCTGACATCCATTTTGATCTTTTCCTTCTTTCCAGGACCCTAAGCAGATCTTAATTCCATCCTGTCCCTAGATTTAAGTGTACAGATGCCAGAGTTCGAAACGTGGGTCTGAGGCCACTTCTCTCACAGGAACAAGCCTGGACAACATCTCTTAGTAGTCACCTGGTTGTGTTGTCATACCCCAAGGACCTCAGAGAGTGTAAACATTGCTATCAGTGGTAGTTCTCTCCCTGCTTTCCACAGGCCTGTCATGCATATGTGACACAGTCATCATTGTGGGAGGAAATTCCTTTGTTCTCTGTGACCTGTAAAAGTCACTAAGTAGAGACAGAACTCTGAAAACTCATCATGGTTTCTATGATAGCCCTCACTTGGGTGATCGATGTTTGTCTTTTTGTTGTGCATGCTCCTGTTTAAGACTTCATAAAGAGTCTCTGTAATATTTGAAGATGGGTCTCTTTTCTCCCCTCTATTATGACTACAGAAACAAGGGCAGCACACTTACTGCACAGCAACCAAATCTCTTAGCCTCAACTTCTGTCTGAGTAAAATGGGCAGCAGTGCTCCACTCAAAGATGCTGACCAAGTGCAGTGGGATGCCCATTCTAACCAGCGTGGTCTGCTGCCAACTTGGAGTGGGACACTGCTCCTGTTTCCTGGTTTTGTTCCTGTTAATACCGTCAAATTGGTTCTGACTCATCGTGACCCTGTATAGGGTTTCCGAGGGGTGTCCGGTGGGTATGAACCACTAGTCTTGTGGGTAGCAATCCAGTGCTTATCTAGGACTCCGCCCTGAATGAAAATCCAATATGTAAGAGATTTGGTTGCTGTGTAATATGCATACTGCCCTTGTCATGACTAGTCATGACTAATTCCAAACTAGTTCAAAACCCTGTGCTCTAAATACCATATCGCCCTCTAGTGGTATCATTGCAGTTACTAATCTCTTGAGATGACTCAGAAATTTGCTCTTAAATCCAGGAATTGAATCAGCTAAGCAAATCTGCAAAACACTGCCGAGTCTTACACTTTCAATTCTACCTGAGCATTTTTCTTTTATGCACTGATGTGTAAGGAGCTAATTATGTTATATAATCCTGATTTCACAGTGAGTTTTCATTGCCTCTCCAGATGTGTCAACACTGTGCTCAGGCAGGCATGGAATTTGGCAATAGCTTCAAATATGTCTTTTAATATCTCTCCCATGGCCAGTGTCCAAGGAACAATTCCAGGTTTCCAGTAGTTCACCAAGTTAAATATGAAAATAAACTTTTTTAAAAAGGGAGAAAAAACCTACCATATGTCCAATATTTATTTACCTTTGGTCTTTATTCTGGAGTCAGATAAGTGGAGTGGCAAAAAAACCACATTAGGCCATATTCACATCTCCTGGTATGTGATACTGGCCTGAATTTTCTCTTATACGGTGAAGTACTGGCAGTTTCTATGAGCAAGAAGAGACTAAATTAGAAACCTCATTTTCTTCATAAAGCACCATGTAACAGATGGTCATTTCCTCTCTGTCCCACTTTTCTTGAAGGTAGAAAACAAGATTGTGCAAACCTTACTGAGGCTAACATTAAAGAATCTGAGCCAACTCTCCTGATAAAGCCTGAAGATATTGTCTTAAAAGAACCAGGGAGCTCAGAAAAGATACTTCGGACGCTTTTGAGACCAAGCGATAAGGTTTCTAATGAGTATAAGACAAGCTCTTCTGAAATCAACGCAGTTGTAGGAGCTGTTCCCTCTACTTGTGAGTATGTTACATTACTTGTCCAGTTTTAAAGCAATCAATCAAGATAGAAGCAAAGTGCCCTTTTTCTGCCGCTGCATTGTCTTTAAATTCTGCTTCCATTAGATGCCAATTTCTCAAAGTCTGTGACCTCTTATTCAATTCTGTATTTCAAGAACTGAGGGGGTCTCAATAAATATTAGCTGAACTGATCTATTGTTAAAAATAACCCAAGTAAAATTATGCTCTACATGTTGATAAAATTGGAAACATCCTAGACCAGAAAATCGAGTGATACACATCTCAGTAATTCAGACTTCACCAAGTGTTAGGAGACTTTTTAATCATGTGATTCTTATTTCCACACACAGTTGCCTACACATATTTGAAGAGCTCTTGCAAAACAATTCTTTACATCTTTATTTCCTACATCTCAATATCAGACATGATGGATGTTGATCATTTAGAAAGACTTCTTTTTGTTTTATCAAGAACAATTCCTAAAGTCATCGTTTAGCTCCCCAAATAAAGAGTGTCACCTTGAGTATTACAGTATTTTAAGAAAAATGAATTATATAAGACTAGAGGGTTAACATCTATTTTAAAGCATAGGTGAAAAGATTGGCGGGAGAGGAAGGATCAGGGAGATTAAGTAAATAAGGAAGTGTAACAATGAGAACAGAAGTAAGTTGGGATAAAAAGAACCATTCCTAGGACTCAGGGCACAATGAAAGATTTTCATATTTTTCTTAACTGGACTTTATAGACATACTGTACATTTTGGTGTAGTGAGATCTTGCTGTTCCCTTTAGATCAGCGTTGACCAAAAGATATATAGTGTGGATCATAGAGGTATTTAAAATTTTCTAGCAGCTATATTAAAAAAACTTATAGAAACAAGTGAGATTACTTTTAATAATATATTTTATTTAATCAAATATATGGAAAATATTAACATTTTAGTATGTTAGCAATATAAAAGCGTGTTAATGAAATATTTTACGAAGTCTTCAAAGTCCAGTATGTATTATGTACATACAACTCATCTCAATTTGTACTCAGCATATGCCACATACTCAGTAGCCACATGTGGTTGGTGGGCATTGTATTCAAAGGTCTGCTTTCTTTCTTCATTGATGACATAGGTTATCCTATCTATGGCATTCCGACCATTCGGTCTGATCTTCCTGCACCCCGGCTTCGTCGCATCAGTGATAGAACTAATTATGGTGAAGAAGGCAATGTTTATTCATTACTACATCCTACCATCTTCAGTCAGAAAGGAGTGTTTGAGAGAGACTTCTTCAAGACCAGGTCAAAAGAAGAGGTATGGCATACTATTTCAAAAGACTCATTAGCATCACATAAAGGCTCAAAGATGGAAATGTTTTATCAATGAAGTTGGAACCGACTGCACGGCACACTACCACCACCACTATCTTAGATGTTTCAAAACTTGAGACTTTATATTACAAAAGTTATCAGGACCACCAAAATGTAGGTGAACACTGCTCAATTTGGTTGTGACATTTGGTCCCAATTCTTGAAGCAGACTTTAGTCTTATAGGAAGCATATTTCATTTCATGCTAACTGTGGCCTATATATAAAAGAAAAAATGACTTCCTAAATGCTACGGCATTGTCCAGAGGGTCAGAGAAGGCCTAAGAAATAGAACTTTAGGGCAGCCAAAGAAGCAAACTGCTTCTGCTTACTTCATGGTACATTCCTTTTTGTTGGAAGTAATCACTAATCTCACAATTCTAGGTAAAAAGTAAGAACTCAAAGGCTTGGTTGGGGGTAATAAATATTATGATGAGAATGGAAGGACTTCCATAAAAATACTAGCTTATCAGTTCCTGTGGCAATACACTACCTGCAGGAAACAGGGGAGGAATGTTTACTGAGGACTGAGAAAGGGAGTAGGGAGAAGGGTTGGGGTGCTCAAGACTGCTTGGGACCACTTCATGAATTCACTGAGGTATTTTAGTCTGCTAGTTTTGCTGAGACACAAATATCACAAACGGGTGGGTTTAAAGAACAGAAATGTATTTTCTAAGTGCTCTGGAGGCTGGAAGTCCAAATCAGGGTCTCAGCTGTGTTGAATTCGTCTTCGTTGTTAACCCCAGCTGCTCCTTGTTATTCCTTAGCTTGTAGATGATTCTCACATGGTGTCTATCTATCACCTGTGTGTGTTGTGTGTGTCTGTATTCTAATCTTTTATTTTTATTTAACTTTTGATCTTGATTTGAGTGAAGGTTTACAGAGCAAATCAGTGCTCCATTCAACAATGCATACACATTTTGTTCCAGGTTTTCAATTGTAAGCCACATGTCTTTGACTGTAATCCTCATAACATCGCTGCTCCCACTGCCTCCCTATGTTTCCCTTTCCCATTCCTCCTCCTTTCCTAACCCTTCCTGCCTCCTGAACCTTGTACAAATGCTGCCCTTTTGATCTCAAATGGTTGATTGTTCTAAAATGTGAGTACCTTACGAGTATTATTGTTCATCGGTAAATTATTTTTTGGCTGAAAATTGAACCATGGAAGTGAGTTTAATTTCAGGCCTGAAGGCTGACTAAGGCCTAGTATCATGGGTTTCACCAGACTTAATTCTGACTAGTAAACTTAGTCTTTTATTTTTTATTATTTTGAGTTTTTTTCCATGTTTTTCTTCCATTCAATCCTGGATCTTCTAATGTAATTCCTTTCAGAGCATCATCTAGTTCTTCTGGTCTCAGGAGTCATGGAGGCTGAGGTACATTTAGTCCATCAGTCCTTTGGACTAATTGTTTCTTTAAGCCTGTAATTTTCATAATTTTTTTTTGCTTTGTAGGAGAAGAGATCAGTAGCTTTACTTCTGATGACCATTCATAAGCTTTTAAGATACCAGTCCTACTCACCAAAGTAGGATGTAAAACACTGTCGTTGTGGACTACTTTATGCCAATTGTATTTTGATCTTTTTATAACTATAATTGATTAGGTTTGGAGTCTATGCTATAATGGTGTGACCTTATTAACATAATAAAAGTAAAACTGTTTTCCCAAACAGGATCACATCCACAGATACAAGGCCCAGGAATTCAATAGTCATCTTTGAAACACACAATTCAACGTATACAGAGTTTATTTTTTAAAATTTAAGTCTTGGAGAAGGGGAAAAAAAATAGGAGCTATGGCACTGAAGGATCAGCACAGGACTGTGAACCACAAGGTTGGCAGTTTAAACCCACCAGCCTCTTAGAAACCCTATACAGGGTTGCTAGGAGTCACATTTAACAATAAAATATATAGTGGAAGAACTCTAGTGGTACGGTGGTTGAAGTGTTTAGTTACAACTGAAAGGTCACTGGTTTCAACCCACCGGCCACTCTGAGGGAGAAAGATATGAGTCTGCTTCCATAAAGATTTTCTACAAACTTGGAAATCAATGGGGTCATTCTATTCTGTCTCTAGGATTGCTATGAGTCCAAATGGACTCTACAGCAACAGATATACATACAGATATCAAGGCGCTGTAGCTGAGCAACTGCAGGCTGCTGGCAGTGCTACTTCTCTGAAGTTGCCTACAATTCTAAGCTCTTTCCCCCTGGAACAGAGGACCTTTGAATTGTTGAGGATCTGTTTAATGGATGTATTCGGCCAGTTTTCTCTTTCTTTGGCTATATTATTCACTGTCTGTTATTTTCATTTCCATCTTTTCTTTTTCTGTATATTTCACTTTTTTTCTTCCTTTAAAGTTAGTTTCTTCTGTTTGGTTTTTGCATCTTTTATCACTCTTTCAAACCTTTTCTCTTACTTTTCTTTTCTTATTCCTTCCCCACAACCCAACCCCCGGGACATAATACTAATATTTGTTGCTCCCTTCATTTCCATTAATAGTCATGACTACAGAGAGATTATTAGTAAACAAAGTTTGTAGGTTTTCAGAGTGCTCATTTGCTCTGGCATTTGTACACCTATAGTTATGGTTAAAGTTTGCAATAGGCCTGCTTCATCCATTTTGTAAATATTCCGTTTTAAAGAAACGGAAGCTGTAATTCAAGTGAGTGGCAGAACTCAAATGCAGCAAGGCTTCTATCTTTAATTCTTTTGTTCTTTCTGTTTGGCTTCTTTTAAAAACAACTAGAGATTCCAAGAGTTGGAAGTAATTTTTTATTTTGGCATGATTGCTGAAAACCCTCAAATTCATAATAACAGAATATCCATTATCTGTACTCATACACACCCTTCTAAAATTTTTGTGAAATTTGTGTAATATTTGCTCATTACACATATGCTTTAAAATTTATGTTTGGGTACATTGTCTGAGGTATAAGTATGTATTTTAGAATACAAAATAAATAATATACCAATCTTGGTCTGACTTTCAATGCTTTTTTTCTAGATTGCACAGATATTATGTAACATTGGTATCAAGCTTTCTGATGAAGAATTTGAAAATGTATGGACTCTCGCATCAAGAAAACACCATAGTGGAGACGTCTGTGTAGAGAGCATCAGAAATGTTCTAGATGAGTTGCAGCATGCAGACCGCATCAGATGTAAAACAACCATGTGATATTTTTGGAGTTCATTCATTTAAAGTGACGAACTGCTAAATCTGTTTGCCTACTATTCATCTAAAAATTCAAAATCTATCCTGTCTTTAGGCATGTGGTAGGGACTCATATGCCTACAGTTACTGCTAATAAATTAGATTTCAGGTTTTTATTGTATTTTATTGTTTTCCTAAAGCACATAAAAACTTGACAAGCACTTGGAGAGTTGCCTCCAGCCTCATCAAGCATTCAGAGAGAAGTTTGGAATTGTTTTGGTAGGTCTAAGGATTCTTTCCATTTGAGTTGGTTGTCTGAAAATCAAAGTTTGGTTTGTGATTCCAAGTTCACAGAATTTTGCCTTCAAAATTTACCTATAGGTCTCTGTGTGATAAGATTTATGTTTAGATGGCTTTTAGTCTCTGTTATTATTTGAGGTAAATAAACTTAATCACAAGAAGCAAATTTTAGAGAGCAAAAATTTGACTTCTAGCAATTGCATAATGGCTATTAATTCTTAATATATTTCTACTCACAAAAAAACTATCCTTGCTGTACAGGAAGAAGACAAAGCTGAGCCACCATTAGATGTAGCTTTTGTGTTATACCTTGACTCTTTAATGTACAAATTTGACGCTCTGTCAATGATGGGGTAGGGATGCTGGTAGGTGGTGTATGGTATCTCAGGACATTACAAACCAAGTGAGTATCAGTGTAATTTGAAACCATGACTTTAGTTGTTATTGTTAGATGCCATTGAGTCAGTACTGTCTCATAGTGACCTTATGCACAACAGTACAAAACACTGCCTGGACATGTGCCAAACTCATAATCATTGCTGTGCTTGAGCCCATTGCTGCTGTCACAGTGTTAGTTCATCTCATTAGGGGCTTTTTTCTCTGTCTCTCTACTTCACCAACCATGATGTCCTTCTCCAGGGCCTGGTCCCTCCTGATAAACGTCTGAAATATGAACAATGAAGTCTGGCCATCATGGCTTCTAAGGAGCATTTTAGCTGTACTTTTTGGGAAAATATTGGATTTAATAGAAAACATCATATTGTAAACAAGTCCATTAGCCCATTAGATTAAAATAGAATGACAGCACAATCACATATAAAAGCTAAAGATGAAACGCTGGTGTCAAACACAGAACTTAAAAGAGGTCTGAGCCAGTCTCTGAAAGATCTTTCTAGAAGTAGAGGAAGCAACTACAAGCAAGCACAAAACTGAGAAGGGAGCATCTACTCCACAGATGCTCAGGAGAGTAAAGGGAAGGCAGAGCAATAATCTTCAGCCGCTGTTCAAAAGATGAGTCTAAGTGGAGAAAAACTTGTTTCCTGATGTGCTGAGAACATCAGACCACACCACCTGGTCACCTTGACTGACAGACACTGAAATGGAGGCAGTGTCTATTGCCCGAGGGGCTTCCTACCTTTTACTGAGTGTAGAGTGAAAGATAGGAGCCATAGTAAGACCTTTAGCAAAAAACACATGGCTCTGGTGGGCAAAGGGTTTCCGTTTTCCACCTCCTGGTGCCAGAGGGGCCACAAGGGAGAGGGATTTGACTGTATGGGACCACTGGGGAATTTGGGCTCTTCAGCAAAGGTCTTCTCTACCCTAATCCTCTCAGTTCATAGAAAGGTCAGCTGTGACAGGGGGAGGAGATAAGAGAGTTTCCTTCCAGGACTACTGGTGCTGATTAAGGACTGCTTTCTCACACTGAATTTACATGATGACAGAGTTTGTTTCTTAATGTAGGACAGCAATTCTCAATTAGAGGGGGCAGGATGCTCAAGAGGGGCTCTGGAGAGGCTGGGTCCCACATATACAAGTGTTAAGTTCTTCCCATTGGAAAGGCTGTGCATGTAGTGACAGAGGCTCCTGACAGGCGTGTGTTGTAGCATGTAAACTGTTGGAGGCAGAACTAAAGTTTAAGACCCCTTATCTAGATGTGGTGGGTTATCAAGATGGTAGAATACATTTTTCAGAGATTTTTGTCTGCTCAAGTTATTCTTGTAGCTACACTCTATGATAGGCTCCAAACTTCATAAACAAGAGCAATATTTGTGCCCATTAATTTGTAGTAACTAACTATACTAAACAAAAGGCATACTATTCTGCTCTCCTAATGACAATTTCCAGAGAGACTAGAATGACCCAATGAAGTATTTGACCCTAGTTCCAGCATAGGCTAATCACTGGATGGTTTCTTGAGAGGCTGGCTGTTCTCTTTCATATTGTGCAAGGGGCCCACCAACTTGCTAAGAAAAAGCATTAAATCTTTGAAATACTTGACGGTCTTCACTTTCTACTCCAGGGTGGCATCCTCATCGCACACAAACATGGTGTGAGGATGCTTCTGGAAGGCAGACATGGTCCACATTTGTCTCATGGCCTCCTTGATGGCCTTGTACAAGGCGAATGCTTTGTGAGCACCTGTGATTAGGTTCATCACCTTTCTAGCTTCATTGACAGTGTCAATACCCAATGTCAGGGCCATGGTGGGCACCTTGGAGAGATCTGTGTGGAAAGACCAAGCATTTGCCAGGATGGTGTCTGTAGCTAGTGTTTTCACATGTATCCTGGACACCAGACTGGAGTCTGGCTTATTGAAGGCGATGTGCCATCAGGGTCAATGCCTCCAACAAAAAGCTTGATCTCACCAGCATCCTTGATTTTCTCTTCAAAGGTGTCATACTCAGCCTGCAGGCCAGCTGAATTCCCATCCAGAATGTGGGTGTTTCCTGGGCCATTGTCAATGTGCTTGGAGAAGTTGTTTCACATGAAGGAGTGATAGCTCTCAGGGTGGCCTCGAGGAAGGCCCACATACTCATCCATGTCGAAAGTCTTCACATAGTTGAAAGATAGGTCCCTGTTGTTATAGTATTCAGTAGTTTCTTGTAGCAGACAAGTGGGGTACTACCAGTGGAAAACCTCATAGTGAAGTATTTGTCTGGCCCTGGATAAAACTGGATGATGCAGTTCCTGATGTGTTTAGTTGCCCACTTGCTGGCTTACAAACAGTGGTCCAGGATGATGAGTTTCATCTTGTCTGGTAGAAGAAGAAGGAGGGAGATTTCAATGTGGAAGCCTGAGCTCAGGAATGCAGTCTTTTAGCTGTACTTCTTGCAACACAGATTTGTTTGTTCTTTTAGCAGTCAGTGGTACTTTTAATATTCTCCTTCAACACCATAACTCAAATGCATCAATTCTTCTATGGTCTTCCTTATTCACCATCCAAGTTTCATATGCATAGTAGGTTATTGATAATAACCCTTAGTTTTCAAACTGACAACTTTGCTTTTGAATACTTGAACGAGGTCTGGTGCAGCAGATTTGTGTAATGCAATCCATCATTAGATTTTTTTTTTTCAAAGCTTTTATTGTGAATTATGTGGGTTTACATGGGAGAACATCAGTTTTACATTCATTCTGTCATATTTCATTTCATTGCAGTGATTACAATCCCCTTCTTGCATCATCAAACAACCAAAGGGTACACCCCACAGCCTGCCCCTGGCCATAAGCACGCAGCCCCTTTCCCTCCCTGAGTCCAGTGTACCCAGCTGCTCCATCTGTCCACGTCTTCATCTCTGCCTCTATTTCTGGTGTCACTGCTTCTCTGGGTAGGGTCCTGTACTCCACTCTTCTCACTTGATGGTCCCAGGGACCTCCGCTCCTGGACTGCAAAATCAGCCACTCCCCTCCTTTTGTTACAAAACATCTACCTTTACATTTCTGACTCTCACAGTCAGTCCTGATAGCAATTATTCACTGTTGTACCTCATCTACTTTCATTAGCCCCATCCCAACAGGTTGGAAATCATTCAGTGGAGAGTCTACCTTCCCCCGCCTCAGCTGAAACTAGGCTCCCTCTTGAAAGCTTGTAAGCCAGTCACTTCTTGCCTTTGTAACACCCCAAATTTTGGGTAGTCAATGTATAAGTTGCCCATCCCTGTCAACCCTGTGTACCGATGGAGTGGGAGTGATCCTCGCTGTAAAGATTTGTTCCCTCTGGTCGCGTAGTGGTTACGAATTGGACTGCAATCCACAAGGTCAGCAGTTAGAAACTACCAGCTGTTCCACGGGAGAAAGATGAGGCTTTCTGCTCCCATAAAGATTTACAGCCTAGGAAACCCTGTATAAGGTCACTATGAGTTGGAAC